GAAACTGTTGAAAAACAGAGAAGACAACACCGCTTCAGAGCTCACATGGCTCCAGGGAGAGGCAAGAACCAGAGCTTTACCCAGGGAAACGAGGGCTTGGTGGTTCCTCAGCATCTGGTCCCGGTAAAGCCCCTTGTCCTCCTCTTCCAGCAGCTCCCACTCCTCCCGTATGAAATACACTGCCACGTCCTCAAACACCTCCCGGAGCTGCAGGCAGAAGCGTTACAGCATCAGTGTCTCCTGCCCCCGCTGCCCCCACCCCCACGGCCCTGTCTGCACTCACTGCACTACAGCGCTTTGCACGCTCAGCCAGGACAGGCAGGGGTACAACATTCCCACTGTTCAGCAGACGTGATGTGGATACCTTCGTATGCCCCAGCTACATCAATAGCACCTTCGTCGTAGGGACAGATGGGAAGGAACCCCTGGAGAAATTTCAGGAGGATTTTAACAACTTCCATCCCTCCCTCAAACCAGCATAGGGATATTTCATCCAGCACAATAACTTCCTGCACATCAATGTAAAGGTTTGCAACGGCTACGTTGCCACCGCATTGTAGCAGAAACCCACTGACTGCCACAACTGGCTTTCATCCTAAGCACACCACTAGAGCCAACGTGCATATCCGTTCACTGCATCTCATGAAGTGAGCTTGGGATCACAAAAATGTTTACTACGCCTTGAGTATTCGCTTAGTTTGTAAGCTGCAAATGCATCCCGGCTTCTGCCTCCCCTCACACTCACACAGATCATCAGCAGCCAGGTGTGCTGCTCACTCCTGCCAAACTGTCTCCCCTTGATGCTGCCGGGCACTGGCTGGGCTTGGCTGGCTGTCACAGATCACCCAGAGGGGCTCTTCCCGGGTGCCTCAGCTCTTAACATGTTCAATCAATCCTTAGAGGCATCTGAAGTAGCACTTGTGGAGGCAGGGAGCCAGGCTGCGCGGACTCTGACCCGGCCTTCCCGTGCCAGCACCCCTGGCTCTCTGCACCCGGGAGCACGCTGCTGCTAATGCAGCCTGGAGGGTTTGCAGTCTCCATCACCAGAGACCTCTCGCTCTTCAGGTCTCTGCTCCCCAAGCTCTTGACAGCACCCCTGGCTCCTCCTGGGCTCTGCCCCAGCTGCACTCCCACCCCCACGGCCAGCTGGTGCCCTGCTCACCTCCATGCTCTGCCCCTGCTTCGCCGGCCTGCCCTGCCCGTCCTGCAGCTGGCCCGGCCCAGGCGTCAGGGAGCCGCTCTGTCCCCGTCTCCCTGGGGAGGG